ATATATTCTATAATAAAATGGAAGAAAATAATAATATTGCAAACACTTTAAGAAAGTTGTGTAATACATGTAATATAACAACAACATATAAAAATTGGTCTAGACATTTAAGAAAATTAAAACATCAAAGAAATGATCCAAATAAAACTATTGAAACTAAATTTCATGAAAACACTAAACAGAAAATAGCAAATACCATCTATAAACCTAGAAAAAAGAGAACAGTAAAACCTCACAAAGTTTTCTGTGTATATCCTAGAATGACAATTTTTCCAAAAAAACAAACGTAAAAAGACCGTAGCAAAACATACTTTGAAGATAGGATTCCAACACACATAGTATTCTCAGAGTTTGATGATAGTTTATTTGAAAGAGCTTCTGTTTTAAAGACTGTTGATATTACTACTAAAAATCAATCTGCTTTTAACAGAAAAGTATTATCATTTATTGTTGAAAATAAACGTGAATTTAAAGATATAAATCAATTTTTGAATTATTTAAAAGAGGGTGTTGAAAAAAAGATGTTAGAATATTAAAAAGAAATAAGTAATTATAAAATATCTATTATAGTAACTTGTAAATGCATCAAGAAAAAACCATCAGATGAGGAAATAAATACAGGTTTTATAACAGAAAGTAAACAGTTTCTTCATTCTAGTAATTTCAACGATTTTTATAATAATGTAAAAGAAACAATTTAATCTAGAGAAGATGCATTTATAGCTAAGGGTTCTGGTTGGATATTTAACAATGTTATTGATATGAACATATATATGTGTAAATATAATCCGCTTAGAGGGGCATCATATATTAAATTACCAAAAATAATATCTGATAAAAAAGCTATTATCAATATTAAAAACAAAGATAACAAATGTTTTCTTTGGTCAGCTTTGGTTCTAGCTGCTTTACATCCACAACATAAACATGCATATAGAGTTAGCAAATATAAAGAATGGGAAAATGAATTTAATGAAGTATTTAAAAGTTTAAAAATTGGATTTCCAGTTAAATTAAATGAAATTTCTAAATTTGAAAAAAAAAACAAATATGTCCATTAATGTGTTTACTTATGAATATGATGATATTATAGTACCTCTAAAAATATGTGATACTCAAAAAAAATACATCTTAACTTATTTTATCTTGGAGAAGAAAATAATGAACATTATTGCTTGATTCAAAATTTATCAAGATTAGTTTGTTCGCAAAAAACAAAACATAGCCATACAACATATTTATGTAACACATGTTTATAAAATTTTTATACCAAGAAAAGTCTAACAGATCATGAGGAATATTGTAAAACTAATAAATGCGCTAAATCAATATTACCAAATATTTCTGATCGTATTCCTCAATTCGAAAAATACAATCATTATTATAAAGTTCCATTTGTTATTTATGCTGATTTTGAAAGCATGCTTCCTAAAATTGATAAATGTCAACCTTGTGATACAACCTCTTATACAAAAAAATATCAAAAACATTTACCCGTTAGTTTGTGTTTTAATGTTAAGTATAGTAATACTAGTAAAAATAATCTAGTAACATATACAGGTGAAGATGCAGCTTAAGTTTTTTATGAAAAAATAAAAGATGAAGCATTTTATATTACAAAAAATTATTTAGATGTTAACAAACTTATGATAATAACCAAAGAACAAGAAATTGAAAAATAAAATAACTGTCATATATGTGAAAAATCTTTAAGTGATTTACCACCAATACTAGTGAAAAGAAATAGAATATTTAATGAAACTATTGATTATTGTCAATCTAAAATAAAAGGAGGATCAATAGTTGAGAATAAGAATGAAAAAGAAAGATTAGATTTAGAAAATATAGAAAAAGAAATTGAATATTTTAAAAAACAGCTTGATGAGAAACAGAAAGAAAAACCGATGTTCATTGAAGATCATGAGGATAATATGGAAAAAATTAGAGATCATGATCATTTAACAGGAAAATATCGAGGTGCTGCTCATTCAATATGTAATCTAAATTAAAAGGTTCTTAGATTTATTCCAGTATTTTTCTACATTCTATCTGGTTATGACGCACATTTATTCATAAAAGAATTAGGTATTGATAAAAATAATATAAAAACAATTGCAAACAGTGAAGAAAATGTTATATCATTTTCAAAAATTGTGAAAA